TTCTCAACTGTTTTATCCTTTGCTATTGATGTAAATGTAATCATTTGTTTTCCATTGCTTGTTGTAAGTATTCTTAACAAGAGGCCCTGCTGGCTCTTTAATAACTATTATATCACTTAGCCAAGACAGGACTGGCCTTATAGAAACTTAAGCTAGAGTCTTAGATTCAGAAAGAATTTTTGAGTCTGAGCCCCACTCCCACCCTTCTACAAAGATGTAAAAGCCATATACCATGGTTTTCAACCTCAGTACTATTGACATTTGGGGTTGGATAATTCTTGTTGGGACAAGGGGCTATCCTTTGAGTCCTAGGATATTTAACAGCATCCTTTGACCTCTACCCACTAGATGCCCTCTCCCAGATGTCTCCAGATATTGCCCAGTGTCTTTGGGCAAAATCATCCAGGTTTGGAAACCACTGCCCTAGAGCAATGTTTTTCAAAGGCAGCTTGCAAAAAATTGAGGAGAGTAGGTTGCAGTTTCCAATCCAGAGGTTTGTTTTAGATCTGGAATGAAGCCCAAAGTCTGCATTTAAATAAGCATCTTCTCTCATTTACCCACCTCTACCATTCTGATACAGATGATGTGAGGATTACACTTTCATAAACACTGCCCTCATAGACTAGTTGCCAGGGAGAGGCTTATGAATAATGAACTTGAGCTTGCTTTTCCTACTGCCTACTTTAAAGGCTCTCCTGGAAGTTAAAAGAGCTCCCTTAAATTGTGGGAAGGCTGAAATACGCCAGTAGTTAAAGGACTAATTACCATTTTGTTTTTATGTATGGTCTGTCACCCTTTGTCTGAAGCAGTTCATGGCAGTGCTGTTTCTGAATTCTCTTCTGGAATTGCCTAACTGACATCTTCACTCCACAGCCCTTTCCCTGGGGAGATGGTAATCATACTCTATTCCATAACTCTCACGTGAATCCACTTCCAACCGGCTATGAAGATGAATAGAGAGAACCTGGACCACCACCCAGTGGGGACCACAGCACTGGTTTGGACCATGACTCTGCACACAGACCAGAAGTCTATGGGACCTTAAGCTCACCTTCCTTACTTGTATCAAATGATGACCAGTATACCGATCTTCCATCCCTTTTCTTATGGCAGGAGATGGCTTAAATAAATAACTTAGATTGGTCCATGATCTGAGAGTTGCATTCTTTGGTGTTTTTCCCTCCAAAATCAGCATTGTTATTTTCGTTTCTATAATGAAGGTTTATGGCTGCCTTGTACAGGCCTCTGGATAAGTGTTTATAATAGGCTTGTCCTTGGTTTCTTATGCCTGGAGTAGGTAGAGCAAAGGGACCATAAGTGGAGCTAATTTAAGTATCAAGATTGGGTCCTGACAGACTTTGGGTGGTAAAGATATTGAGTAGAATCCCTGAAATTTACATCTGAAAGAGGTATCTTTGACTCTCCAGAAGAAGTGCTTACTCTGTGTCCTAGCTTTCTCTTGTCCCATTCCACCAGCATTTGCTGAAGAATATTCCCTGTGGTCAGGTAATTGTCTCCAAAAGTGTCAAGTTCTCATCTTGTCATCTCTCAGCACCATGAAGGTTAGAAGGGTCAGAAACTTTTGGAGAAATAAAGGCAGTATGACACATTTCTGTATATGGCAATGAGCTTTATTTGTTTCTGGAATTAAAACCTTCCTGTAGCATTAAGAATTAGGGAGAAACAAGAGTAATAGTAACAAAGCCACCCTTACAGAGCATTTAATTTCTCTTCAAAATTTAAAATCTTTGAAGTAGCTGAGATAGTTGGAATCACTTTATGGGCAGGATGAAGTCAAAATAGAATGAAGAACAATTGGGCACCTGGGTGGCTCAGTTGGTTAAGTGTCTGACTCTTGATTGCAGCTCAGGTCATGATCTCAGAGTTGTGAGATTGAGCCCTACATCGGGCTCCACGCTGTGTGGAGCCTGCCTAAGGTTCTCTTCTCTCCCTCTCAAAAAAAATAAAGAACAATCCGAAGAAATTATTCTCTCAGCAGTTACAATGAAAAAACATGGTTGACTTGGAGTGGTTTTATTCTCGAGGCTCAACCAGACAGTTTTGTAGTAAGATTCAAGCAGCTACCAGGTTTTGGTATTGCATAGTAACATATAGTAAACTAGTACTGCAAAGGTGAGGCATATGGAAACACAGGCTATAAAAGCCTTTTACCGTAAGGGAGAAAAGGATCCCTGCTCCCTTTTCCATTTTGTGATCTAACCGCAGCCTGTGCTTGTACTTCCAAGTCCCCAAAGAACCATTGTACTTGTGGTCAGTCTGAGTTCAGGACAGATTACTTTACTTTGGCTTGCTGCCTGGCCTCCCTCAGCTGGATCTCAAATATCTTTTTAATCCATGTATATAATGGACCGTAACCAGTCAAAATGTAAATGTAGAATGTATTGAAATGACATTAAGGACTGGTCATGTTAAATATGAAGTGGTCACTGGTAAATTAGAGGTTAATACAATTTCCATCTTCTGTAAATTGTTTACTGTACTGGGTATATATAATTGAACCAAATTACTCAAGACATGCAATTTGGTGACTACCTGACATTCCAAAGTGTGTAAGTGCTCACCTGATCCTGACATTTTTTTTTTGCAGTATAGAAGCATATTAAGTTATTTGTGTAGCTTACTGTGGGAATAAATTTTAGAAATCAGGTTTCTAGTTGTTTTAGCACACTATTTACCTTAGATAAATTTTAACTTTTTCTTCATCTTTAAATTATAAAACAAAACTTTCCCCAGTGTACATATGGGATATGTGGGGTTACAGTGTAATACTTGTTCTGTAAAGTACACTGAGTTCTCCAGGGGCAAATAATGAAACTAAATGTTACAGTTTATTCCATCTTCATGATTACAAACATTACAGGCAGGATAGGTACACAAGGCAAATAAAACAAACTTCTCCCATTTTACTAAAGGCAGCATTTTGGCAGTTTAATGATAATACAGGTTCGCTTGCTTAATTTGGGCTGAAAGCTGGCAACAGCAAATCTTTGCAATTTAGGATCTTCCTCCATTGTTACTCCAAGGATCTTCATTCCTAAACTACACTATGAGCTCAGAAATGGTGTGCAACATTCTTCAAGCTTTCACATCTTAATCAGAAATCTGACACCTCTTCTTAAGGCAGAGAACTCTTAAAGCTGTCTTCCTCTTGGCTAACCCAGTCCACCAGCAATCTTAAAAGTTGTTATTATAAAAATAAAACCGTGCTCCCAAGCATTGATTAAAACTGTTGTGCTGGGATCCCTTTTCAGAGCTTTAGCTCCCTGAGAGAAAAGAGAGATCCTAACCAATTGTTTCCATGAATAATAACCCTTTAGGTACAATGTACCTAATGTCCTTTGCAGCAAAACTCAAGAGGTCAGGCAGCCCTGATCATCTGGACAGGTTTATCAGTATTTACATACAAAGGATATTTAAAGCTGATCCCAGACCAAGTATTGCAACCATAATCCCAAGAAGTCATTCAGTTTAAGCACATGGAGTTCCTGCAGGATGCCAGAGCAAGTGAGAAATCATCTCCTAGCAGAGTGATGGGGTTCATCATCTTTTACAAGTGAGAGAAATCAAGGAGGAAAGAAAACTCCTTCCTCCTAAACTCTTCATCAAATCGATGGCTATTTTCACAGCCTTAATTGCCCAAATCCAGTGTCCTCAATTTCCTGATTGGAGGAGTCTATTTTCAAGGTGACTGTCAAGGTCAAGAAGAGCTTTCAGGCTTTTCTTTGCCATGGCCCATGAATTCCAGTCCTTCAATGGGAATCTCTTTCTCCTTTATTGCTTTCTGATGGAGAAGAAAACACACGACACAGGTCTATGTGAAGCTTAAGGACCAAACTTTGTAAATATGATGGTACAAAAGTAAATCAGATCAAGAGAACACCCAACCATGATTGGGTTGTACTTTTTTTACTGTACTGTACTTGACTACTTTTTTTTAACCTGAGTACCATTATGGAGAAATTAAATGTAAGACCAGAGAGAGATTGGAAAGGAGTTGTGAGGAATCGTCAGTGTTTCAGATGTGGAATTTAAACAGTATCTCCACTCTGTTATGACACACAAATTCAAATCTTGAGTTCCAGGGCTTGGTGGCTATGTGACCTTGAGCAAGCCTCACTTTCCTATCTATAAATGGGCTAAAGATAGCAACTTGGAATTACCCTGAGGATGTTTTAACTAGGAGTGTTGTGTCCAGTGCGGTTCTTACAAACCAAAGCAGTTTCACATTCATTGAACTGGAATGAAAATTTCCCAGCGGGTTGAGAGATACAGCAAACCAAGGAAGGAATTATAACAACAACAAAATGAGACCCTCATGTCTAACAGGCCAGAGAAACTAACACCCCTCTTCGCCCCCCAACAATAGTGGAATAGTGCACCACCGCAAAAATCAAGAAACGATTCCGGTTAACTTGAACTAATCACTTCCTATTTGGGGAACGTTCCATGTATAAAATACCAAGAACTATGCCCACTTTACGAGTTTAGGAGGAGCACCAAATGAACCAAAGGATGTTTCTGTGCTCGGTAAAATGTAAAGCATTGTAAAAATATTTAACTCTGTCATTTAGAGAAATACCGGGCGGCCTTGGTGGTGATGGTGGGGAGAGAGCTCCGGCCACTGTCCTCACTGTGGCTTTTCTTCACCCTCCCCATCCCAACCTCCGCGAAATACTACGCGTGTGGCGGGGACACCGCAGAGAGAAGCAGGGGCGGAGGGTAGAGACGAAAGGGCCCTGGCCACCTAAGGGCTCACCTGAACACACTGCTGATAGCGCTTGAAGAGGTCGGTGCACGGGTCTCCGGAGCCGTCCCCCTTGAGGAACTTTTCGGCAAACCAGCGATTGAAGCACTGGTCGTACTCGCGCTTCATGTCGGTGCAGGCCTCCCCTACGCTATTCATGGCGGCGGCGGCAGTAGTGGCGCGCTCTGATGTCGTCACTCCTAAGTGCGCCGTCGGCTTTACGTGAGGACGCACTACGGCGGCTGAAGAGGGAAATGTGGGCGCGGGCGGTGAAGCTGGGCCTACGGTCCTGGGTGGGCTGGCGCCGGGGCTTCACCTCCAAGGCGGATCCTCAGGTAAAGTCCGGGGCGTCTAAGCGGGTGGTGAAGAAGGACAGGAGGCGGAGCAGGCCCCACCCGTGACCCCTATTCTCCGCCTCATCCCCCCAGCGTAGTGGCAGGGTCACGGCCGAGGTGATCGAACACCTGGAGCGTCTAGCCCTTGTGGACTTCGGCAGCCTAGAGGCTGTAGCACGGTTGGAGAAAGCCATCGCCTTTGCCGACCGGCTCCGCGCCGTGGACACGGACGGGGTGGAGCCCATGGAATCAGTACTGGAGGACAGGTAAACACTCGCGGCTGCGCACCCCCAAGCCTTGCCTGTGGCGCCTTCGCAGCCATTTGAGGTGGCGATGATTAGTGTGTCCTTTCACAGAAGGGAAAAGAGCTTTAGCGAGATGCAAGAACTTGCTCACGGTCACCCCGCGGGTAAGTGTTTTCATGCTTTCCTTTGTTCATTACGGATCCTGTCACTCCGTTTAAAGTCCCCTTGGCCTCCCAGTGTAACTAGGAACCGTGTCCGAACTGCTAATCATCGCCTTTGAGGCCCTGCTTCACAGAGTCCCCGCACTCGGGCCTTCTGCTCTTTTTACTCCAGCTACATTAGCTTCCTTACTGTTTCTCCAACATGACAAATGTGTTTCTTGTCTAGGATCTTTGCGTTTGCTATTCCCCTTTTCTTGGACAGCCTGTTTCCTTGGCAGGTCTTAGTTTATCTCCTCGTTAAGGCCTCTCCAAATATCTTCTCCCTTAACAGTTACCTACTCCTGATCCTGTTGGATTTTCTTCTATTTCTTGGTTATCTTATTTTTGGTGATTTGTCTCTTGTTAATAGAATGTGAGCTCATGTTTGACTTGCTTACTTGTTGGATTCCTGTCTCAAAATATGGCCTGTACATATCTTCAGACCTAGTGGTTCCCTGTGGAAACATCTGTAAAGTGCATCAAGATGTATGCAGGAGTGTTCATGGTATCTAAACCTGTTTATAATACAAAACAAAAAACAACAACAAACTCCTAACAAGGGGTGCCTGGCTGGCTCAGTCCATAAAGCATGCTGTGATCTCCAGGTCATGAGTTCCAGCCCCAGTTGGGGGTAGAGTTTACTTAAATTAATTAAAAAAATTTTTTTTGAACCCCAAGAAACAAAAAACAAACAGTCTAAGTGTCCTTCATGGCTAAATACATCATCATACAATGGAATATTTGACAGTTGTTTAAAAATAATGAAACAACTGGGGCGCCTGGGTGGCTTGGTTGTTAGGCGTTTGCCTTCACCTCAGGTTGTGATCCCAGGGCCCTGGGATCGAGCCCCGCATCGGGCTCCCTGCTCAGCGGGAAGCCTGTTCTCCCTCTCCCACTCCCCCTGCTTGTGTTCCCTCTCTCTCTGGGTCAAAAAAAAAAAAAAATCTTAGGATACATTATATCCCCCCCATTAAAATAAATAAATAAATGTAATGAAACAACTATGCTGATATGAAAAGATATATTTAATAAAAAAGGCAAAGTTCAGAACATTGTGTATGGGATTATCAATACTTTAATGTGTTATCTATTTGACATATTCTGGTATATGCATTAAGTTTTGTTTTGTTCCCTCAGAGCATGCAAGAAACTGTAACTAATTAGTTTTAAAAGAAAGTGGAAATGCAGACAGGGGGAAGTTCTAACTTTTCATCTTATACTGAGGGCCAAAACACAAATGCTTAAAGGAGCAGAATAGTAACACAAGAAGTGATGTAGTATAGTGCAGCAGGGAGGAGCAGGTCTTTGACAAAGCAATTTGTGAATATTATACTAAAAGGATGCACAGCCTCTCCCCACTTCTACCAATTTTTGCCAAATCTTAATACATTTTTATTTTATTTAATTTTTTAAAGATTTTATTTGTCAGAGAGAGAGCGAGCACAAGCAGGGGAAGAGGCAGGTAGAGGGAGAAGCAGGCTCCCCGCTGAGCAGGGAGCCCAATGCAGGACTCAATCCCAGGACCCTGGGATCGTGACCTGAGCCGAAGGCAGATGTTTAACCAACTGAGCCACCCAGGTGTCCCAAAATCTTACATTTTTATTTATTTTTTTAAAGATTTATTTGAGAGAGAGAATGAGAGAAAGCACAAAAGGGGGGAGGGTCAGAGGGAGAAGCAGACTCCCTACTAAGCAGGGAGCCCAATGTGGGACTCGATCCTGGGACTCCAGGATCATGACCTGAGCCGAAGGCAGTCGCTTAACCAACTGAGCCACCCAGGTGCCCTCTTAATACATTTTTAAAGAAAATGCTCTTTTCTGAAAAGCAGACTTGTTTGCTGGTTAGGACTACAGTTTCTTGGGAAGGATGGGTATGTAACTCTTAAAGACAGAGGCAGTCTACAACTCTGTCCTATCCTTTTCTTGATGGGATTTTTTTAAAAAGATTTTTTAATTTGAGAGAGAGTGCAGCGTGGTTTGCAGTGGAAAGATCAGAGAGAGAGGGAGAGGATCAGAGAGAGGCAGACAAGCAGACTCCTTGCTGAGTGGGGAGCCCGATTCCCCGCTTGATCCCAGGACCTGAGATCATGACCTGAGCCGAAACCAAGAGTTGGACATTCAACTGAGTCACCCAGGTGCCCCCTTGATGGGATTTAAAAAAAAAAATACACTCTTGGGATGCCTGGGTGGCTCAGTCAGTTAGGTGTCCAACTTTTGACTTTCGCTCAGGTCTTGATCTCGGGGTTGTGAGTTTGAGCCCCACATTGGGCTCCATGCTGGGCGTGGAGCCTACTTAAAAAAAAATACTCTTAATATAGATGGGAGCAAAAAAGATTAGCTGCCATTAGCACCAATAAGGAGAACCAGACCTATCTGTAACCATAACTTCTGTGTAAAGTGCTTGCTAGCCTCCCATTCTCACCTCCAGTCTTTGATTCCTTCACATCCTTTCTCTATTTTGTAATCTGGGGTGCCTGGGTGGCTCAGTCGTTAAGCATCTGCCTTTGGCTCAGGTCATGATCCCAGGGTCGTGGGATCGAGTCCCATATCAGGCTCCCTGCTCGGCAGGAAGCCTGCTTCTCCCTCTTCCACTCCCCCTGCTTGTGTTCCTGCTCTCGTGCTCTCTGTCAAATAAATAAATAAAATCTTAAAAAAAAAGGGGGGGCTGTTTATTTTGTAATTTGTTGCTCAAATCTACATGTCAGTGTTTCCCCAAAATTACGTAGCACTTCAAAATAGAAATTTTTTAAAAAGATTTATTCATCTGTGGCTCTCTCATGGTATTCAGTTGAGCTCTCCATTCTGTTTCCTTCTTAGAATCCCCTACCTCATCCCACCCACTACTCTTTTTTGCCTACTTTTTCTTTCTTCAGATTTCAACTGCCTCCTCCTCAGATTCTTCTCTATCAAGTCAGGCTCCGTTTCAGGACCTGTGGCTCTCTCATGGTATTCAATAGAGCTGTAATTTTACTTGTGTTTATACATCTATTTGAGTACTATTTATTTATATATTTATTTATTTTCCTAGGTAATCTGTACACCCAATGTAGGGCTGAATTCATGACCCCGAGATCAAAAGTTGGGTGCTCTACTGAGTGAGCCAGCCAGGCATCCCATATTTGAGTAATATTTAATTCTCTGTCCCCCTCCTACTGCTCATCCATGTTCCAGGGAGCATATCTGTTATTACTCATCATATTCTTAGTATCTAGCACCTAGCACTCAGTAAATGTTTGTTGAATGTTCTTTAAAGATTTTATTTGAGAGAGAGAAGGGGGGCAGAGCAAGAGGAAGCAAGAGTCCCAAGCAGACTCCACACTGAACATAGAGCCCAATGGGGGCCTTGATCTCACGACCCTGAGATAACGACCTGAGCCAAAGCCAATAGTCACTTAGCCAACTGCACTACCCAGGCACCCCACTGAATGTTCTTTATTAATATCTTTGGGAAAGTTGGGAATAGAAGCACAAAGAGGAGACAGAATTTCCCAGATCGTGTAGAGGGAAACTAAAGAAATGCAACTATTACTCAGGGAAGAGTTTGTGAAAAAGATGGGAGAGGGATTTGGATCTGGTAACTGGAGTAGTGACTTCATATTCAGTGATCTGCAGTCTGGCCATAAACTTGGAAACCAGTTTAATTCTGTTTTAGGAGATGTAGCACTTGTAGGACTTTGTTTTTTGAACATATTGCCTCACTGATGTTTGAAATGGAACCCATTTAAGACAAGTGTTAAACCGTTTTAGGCCACACTAGGTGTAAAAGCACTAACTGGCTATTAGAAAGCTCTTGGCACATTAATACCCTATCCTTTGGTTTTAGCTAAAAAGCAGTTAGTGCCTTTATGTGTCAGGCACTAAGATTTTATATGCATTGTCTGAATTATCACATACAACCCTGGAAGGTAAATACTAGTATCTCCTTTATAGATGAAGAAACTGAGGCACAGATAGCTTATGTAACATGCCCCAGAGTTTCACATGTGTAGTAAGAGAATCCAGAACTTGAAATTCAGAGCCTCAGTTCTCAAATATACCTCTAGATATGCCATCTAAGGGACACCTGGGTGGCTCAGTCAGTTAAGTGTCTGCTTTCAGCTCAGGTCATGATCCTAGGGTCCTGGGGTCTAGTTCCACATCGGGCTCCTTGCTCAGCAGGGAGCCTGCTTTTCCCTTTGCCTGCTGCTCCCCCTGCTTGTGTGCGCATGCTCTCGATCTCTCTGACAAAAAATAAATTTTAGATATGCCGTCTAGAAGTTAACCCATATGCCATCTAGAAGTTAACCCCTGGGGCACCTGGGTGGCTCAGTTAAGCCTCTGCTTTAGGCTCAGGTCATGATCCCAGGGTCCTGGGATGGAGCCACGCATCGGGCTCCCTGCTTGGCAGGGAACCCGCTTCTCCCTCTTTGTGCTCTTTGTCTCTGTCAGAAAAATAAAACCTTTAAAAATAAATAAAAGTCAACCCCTAGAACCTTTATTTTCTCCCATCTCCAGAGACTGACTCAGATGATGACATATCTGACTGCAGCCAAATACTTCTTCAGTGCTTAGGATGTCCCTCAGAATCTTATTTGAACCAAAAATTCTTAGCCAAATTGATTCTCATTCCAGTCTGCATCAAACTAGAAATTAATTAGGAAGGAGGGAAAAGGCTTGATGGAAATAAGAGTGGTGCCCAGAGAAATGACTCCTGGCAGCCTGACACCAGCAGCAGAGTGGTCCTATCTGGTCAGTCTAAGGGCCAATAAAGGCATTTCTTCTCCGGTGCGGCCATAGTGCTTTCCATTAAATTGCTTTTATTAGCATTTCTCACAGTTACTGGTTAAAGTGCTTTGTGAGCCTTTCTCAACCAGGATTTCATCTGAACCAGAACACATAAAGATTCAAATGATTTTTTTCAGTGCTTCCCAGGATAGTATATAATATTAGCCCATATTTTATTTATTATCTGTCCCATAGTTTTATTAGTCCATAGTTATTTTTTATTTTTTAATATTTTATTTGAGAGAGAGAAAATGAGAGAGCGAGCACATGAGAGGGGAGGAGGGTCAGAGGGAGAAGCAGACTCCCTGCTGAGCAGGGAGCCCGATGTGGGACTCGATCCAGTGACTCCAGGATCATGACCTGAGCCGAAGGCAGTCGCTTAACCAACTGAGCCACCCAGGCGCCCGTCCATAGTTGATTTATTATCAAAATGGGTGTCCTATAGTACTTGGGCTAAATTCTCTGGTAGAACCCTGAGAAAGAGGAAGTGAGATAGACATTTAGTCAGTCAGCAACTGATAGGCACCTGGTCCTGTTTGGAGTATTATGCATGATTCTGAGGTCAAGAAAAGTTAAGCAACTTGCCAAGTGAACTACTGATGTGCCACGCTCACAGAGACACTGGGTTCAGTAGCCTATGATTATGAAAATAGGAAGGTGTGGGTTTCTTCTGCAAACAACTCCATCATAAACAGTATAACTAGGTGAAAATGTGTGGCATTTATGGGAGTGAATTTTTTCTGGAAACATTACTTACATAGGAAACCTGATTATCAAATGAGTGAATAAATCATTTGCTATTACATCTGTGGAGAAGCAGTAGCTTTTAACCACCCGTTGGTGGTAGTAGAGTCTCACTTCATCAAACTCTCCAAGTGCCCAGGAGCAATTAGCCTCCTGTATGTAGGGGCTAGGCAGGTAATGTGTGATTACAGCAGGTTAAGTGCGGAGGTATATTCTGAATGAGGAGTGGTGACTGAGGTGTGCCCAGGTGCACTAACTCTTTCTGAAAGGAGCAGGTGCTATTCAGCACCCACCTCTTACTGCAGTGAGAATGCAGGTCCTGAGAATTATCAGATCTTCTTTAACATTTAATCTTCCCAGCAGTTTTATGAAGCATTCCACAAATAAGGAAACAGGTACATGGACAGGATAAGCAACTTGTACACGTGCCACACATGCCACTAAGATTTGAATTTATCTGTGACTCAGGAGCCCAAGCTCTTTTAGCCATTTTGTTATACCACCCAACAGAAATACAAACTCCAGAAGGTCCAATGGTCACCTTTACAGAGGATTTTTATTTTGTTCTCCAAGTTCTCATAGGCCCCCATATGGTTAAAAAAAAAAAAAAGTGCAGCCTTTACTTTTTTGGCAAGAAAGTTAAGGTCTGGGAAGATCCATACTTGTCCAAGGACACAGAGTTAAGAGTGCCAGATCCTGGAATAGACTGCAGCGCTCTACATTGCGTACCATGAGTGCTTTTGTGTCTAGCCCTAGGGTGGGCACCACAAAAGAAACAGAACAAGTCCTTTCCTAAAAGAATCTTACAACTTAACCCCTGAAGCCTTTGCCTGGATGTTCATGTCACATCCTTGCCTTTTTGTCCCATTAGGTTTAGCCCTCAGTCTGTCTGGCTCAAAGTAGAAAGAGCTTGGCTGCTCCCCTATCAGTGATTGAGCAGACTGCTTATTTTTCAGCCCAAGTATCTGGAAGCAGGCTCAGATACCTTGCCATGCACTTTTAAACCTTGAAACAGCAGTGAAGCCCCATAGATATGTTCAACCTCTGTTTGGTTTCACTAGTTTGCCATCTGGACATTTTAATGAAGCCACTAGGCCCAGAGAATAGTGGAATATTCTTCAGCTGTGCAAGGGCAGGCACCTCCATGTCCCTGAAGGTGGCTGCTGGTGAAAAAACAGTTCATGTTAGGGGTACAAGAACTGTACCAATTTATTTGGTGCCAATTCCAGTCCCGTCACTTGGACCTACTGTCTAAGCACTTATCCACTCTTGAGCAAGTTTCTTCACCTGCCCGAAGGCCATTTCCCATCCCACCAATCCATCGGTTTCTTGCTCATCCTTTAGCAGTGACATCACCTATTCTGAGTACCTGTTCCTCACCTAGGCTGGTTTAGGTGCCCCTTTCTACTCCCTTGGCAAGCTTTGCTTACGTATTAGACTTAAACACATTATATTGTAATTGCCTTACCTGTCTCCACCAAAAGCAACTTACCCATAGTAATCATGCAGAAATATTTATTGAACATACCAGTCCTCAGGAATAATTACCACTTACCTCTTAGAGTGGTGGAGAATCTATAAACTATAGATTGTTATTTGGTCGACTATTGACCATAGCTCCTCCCATCTTTTGGGTAGTGACCATAACTAAAGAATATGCTGCTCCATTTTCTCCCATTCTTGACCCTCTCCACCCATGCTATAGAAGCGTGTTTTCTGGGAAGTTAACCTTGAGCTTCTGGTTTTGTAGATGTCTATACTTGAGATCTGACAATGTGGTAGAAGGCAACTGTGCTGAAGAACTACTACAAAACGCCCATCGAGTTGTGGAGGAGTATTTTGTAGCCCCCCCAGGTATGTGTTCCCCAAAGTGGCTTAACAGATTGTCCCTCAGTGAACTAAGAATATAGTAGGAGCTGTACAGTCCAAATTTGCTACATGAAAGTACTTTAAGAAGAATAATGTGGGAATTAGGTGAAGGTGGTCAAAAGGTACAAACTTCAACATACAGCAGAATGACTATAGTTAACAATACTGTATTCTATATTTGAAAGTTGCTACGAGAGTAGATCTTAAAAGTTCTTACCACAAGGAAAAAATTGTAACTATGTGAGATGATGAATGTTAATTAATCTTGTTCTGGTAATCATTTTGCTATATATATATATCAAATCATTGGGTTGTACAACTTAGACCGTGTTGTATCTCAGTGATATCTCAATAAAAGTGAAATGAAAAACCCCACATATATTAACAGTGGAAAAAAAAGTATAGGTGGTGGCAGTAGACTGGAGGGGTCACATGCACCTCTAGGGGCCAGTCTGTAATAGGAATACACAAAACAGGACTGGGGCGGGGAGGTGTGTATATGGTGTCAAATCCGGAGCTCAAGCTCTGCCTGAAGGGGCAACTAACACTCACTGCTTCTCATTCAGTGCCTGGCAATAATGTGAGCCCATTTTCCCCGAGAACCCGGACATCTGGCATTTTCATGTGTGTGTGGTATTTCCCAAATTTTAAGTATGGGAACTAATTCAAAGATTTAAAAAAATAAATACCATGTAAATAAAACATAGCTGCAAGCCAGATGCATCCTGTGAGCCATCATTTTGCAACCTTGGTGTTGAGATTTGCATCTCTAAAATGTACTGTGACTATTTTAAATAAAAACTTAAAATAACTCTGGGCTAATACTAAAATCCAGAATCTTGGGTGGGTTGAACTTTTTAATCTCCTCTGCAGACACCTGCTGCACCCTTCTGGATATCTGGGAATGGGACTAGCTTGAGCACTCAGGTAGTAGATGGTTTTCCAAGTACCAGCTTCAGGTTCCGATCATCTCAGAGAACCATTCTAACTAGCCTCAGAGACAAACATCAGTCCCCCAGCTCAGGGTTACCTCTCTGACCAAGACCAGCCAATTAAAGGAAAGCTTTGCTTGAAGCAAGAATGGGAAAGAAAGCTTAGAAAATTGTGGACTCGACTGTTAATCATGCCTCTGATTCACTAAACCACCTCAAATTAACTGTGAAGAGAAAAAAAAGATTTTAGGATCTCTCTCAGAATCTGATAGTTGTCACTGTTTTAGCAGACATAGCCATTGATCCACATATGCTATTTCTCAAAAAGAACTTTGTGTCAGACTTTGCTTCTTGAGACAAAGTGAATTCACAATCATTAGTCTTTCCTTCCACTCCTATATGCATAGAACTGGCTAAACTGTCTCTGCTCCTTATTGAAAAGTGTGCATTTATTAGGCTTCACTTACAACTGTTATTCTTTCAGACACTCAGAAAAACAGGGTAGTAGCTACACTTATTTGCATTGCTTATTTTTCATGACAAACCAAGTGATAAGTTAGCTCAGTAGAATCCGCTGGGAAGCAGACTCCACTATAACATTCTTTCTTGTTACTGTTTTCAAACAGGTAATATCTCTTTGCCAAAGCAGGATGAACAAGAGCCTTTTTCACACATCTGAGTAGCTATTCTGGGAATGGGTACCCTGTGAACACGTGGAAGCCCAAAGATAGTATTTTGTTACTGTGAACAGTAATGTTCCAACTTTCTTCAGTCACCTGAAAAAAAACTGATGGTTAAGTATTTTTTAATAACTCTCTGAAGACAAAATTGGGAAATAATCTAGCCAAAACAAGGCAATGAGTTCCTACTGCTACTGGAAGAGGTATTGTTACTTTCCAAGTATTTATTCACAGACTGTTCAGTATGTAAGATGTTAATCCTCCTTTATCTCCTCTAGAGACTATCTACCAAACTGCACTTAAGTGAATTTTTCTGTTGATGTAACTATTAGACAGTGCATCTGATCACTATGTGACGTGTGTTGTACTTTTTAGTTGCTGTTTCTGTCAATCCAAGAAACCTTGTATCTTTACCAAACAAATTCAGATTTGTCCCTGGGTACCTACTTTGTTCCCAGCAGAAGGCTAACTTTCTCCTAAGGTGTGAAGAGTATTCAAAGTAGACTCTACAGCTTGCGAACTCCTAACCTACAATCATCCACTATCCCACAAAGTGATTACATGCAAAAGGGATGCTAGCCACAGCTATAGTTTTTCTTGAAAGAACCTATGTCAAAAATAGCCCTGGGGATAGCTAAACAGTACTGTACTGTACACTAAAAATTTGCCAAGAGGGTAGATTTTGTATTAAATGTTCTTACCACAAATAAATCTGAGTAGGGAAGCAACTTTGGGAGATGATGGATATGTTTATAGCCTTGATGGTGGTGATGCTTTCATGGATACACACTTAACCCCAAACTCACTGAGCTGTAGAGATTAAGGAAGTACAACTTTTTACATGTCAATCATACTTCAATAAAGTGGCTCTTTAAAAAAAGCCCAGGCCTGGAAAAAAGTAACTTCCCCACCCCCACCATGCTTACTGAATTGAGTAGAATCCAAGATAGTGGAGTTTTCTGGTTTGTTTTGTGTTTTAAGAAAGTTCAGATACCAAGGATAAATGAAACAGATTTATGGATAAAAGTGATAGAACCAAAATTTAAAGAGATTCCCCCCCCTCCAAACTGCCGCATTTGGTTTTAAAATCTTCCAATGATCTTTATGCTGCTGCTGACTTTAAAAAGTCTGTTTTATTCTTTCCATTCCTTTGCCCTGTCTTAAATGCTCCCGTCTTCAAGGCAGCTTTATTTATAAGCTTGGCCTTGAATTATAAGATAATCCTGAAGCAACTCTTGGGATTGAAATTCTCAAACCACCAACATAGCGACTATCTTTGTCCCCAAATAGTTATCCACTTCTGCTCCTTACCAACTGGGTATAAGCTGCTACTACAACTCAATTACTTTTTTCTTTTTAACCAGTGTACCTGTTTGGTGAAATCCATTAACTTAATCAAGGACAACCACACATGTCAATTACTAAACGTTTAAAATATATTTCTAAACAGAATGGGCCGACTCAGTCACAGTAACTGCTGATCTCCATAGTAGAGCAACCCACAAAGACACAGCACTGATTTTTTTCCCATAATCAGGGGTGAAAAATATACAACTTATTTCTGAACCAAAACCACAATTTCTGCAGTTTAAAATGCTTCACTGCCAATATGGCCCTGGTAGAAATTATGTATTTTATTTCCTTAAAAAAAAATTAAAAAAATTTCCTAAGACACTAAATCATCAATCTGGAATGTAGATTCTGAGCACAAAGCAGCTCAGTTCACCTAAAAAATAAAGAAAAATTTCCCATCACCTGTCTCAGTAGGGCCTGAAGGGAGAGAAGTAGTGTGGGGAACCCCTGCTTTGGTATGGAGAGTCACGGCCCCTTGACCCAGACCGAGACCGTGAGTAGCCATAGCTGGTGCTTCTCTCTGGATAAACTCGGATGTAGGAAGTTTCACCCTGCAATTTAAACATAAAGAGTACAGGAAAAAATAAGACCCCGAAGAATACAGCACACTAATACCTAACAATAATAGTTAAGTACTGAGCACTTACTGTTTTTCTGGCATGATGTTATCTCATTAAACCCTCACAATAATGCTATGAGGTAGGTATGCTTACCAGCTCATTTCAAGAATGAGGAAAATAATGTTCTTATCTGTTCCAGTGTGACACAAATAATAAATGGCAACTTCACATGTGGTAAATGCTCAAATACTACCCAGTACTGTTAACATACCTGAATTACTGCCACTGACCCCTGAATCTAAGAACTAGAAAGGATCTCAGAGGTCATACAATTCAATCCTCTGCCACTTCATATATGCATCTTTGGATAAATACCTATGGAAGAAGCTAACCTGTATTCAACACCTCTCAGGTGTCAGGATCTGGGTTAGATACTCAGTTATCTTCATAAGTTAGCTTCTTGGCAAGTCTTACAAGACAGTGCTATTACTGTTCCTATTCTGCATATCGAGGAACCAAGGTTCAGAGCATAGCTCAGCTAAAAAATTATTAAGTGGCAGCAGAGTCATGTCCAGGCTGGCCTGTGCCCTTTGCCCTCAGCCAGCACTCTCAGAGGATCTAAAAATGCTAGGATGAAAGAAGTCGGATGCGGAAGTCCCTAGGTGAAGTCAGTAATTGGATTTATCCTTACTGAGGCCCTGCTTTGCAGTATAACTGAGGACCAGATCCTGTTTTGTTTCTGCTCCAAATTCAGTCTGAGCAAAAGCACTGTTGTGTACTTTCCAAGTCATAAAATTAGGGAATTATATGAATCCTTAGAGAAAGAAAGGGACCCCAGACATACCTAAACCCCACAGTAACTCAAGACAAGATAACCAGAAAAAGCAATGTCCAGTTGGGTCTGCTGTCTTTATCTCAGTGATATCAAAGGGGTAGTCAACATGTGAATCAAATTGAGAGATCTAAAGCAGCGGCTGCCTTCTTGAAAGGAAAGACATCAAGAACTAAGTCCTGAGGATAAGGTGATTACAAGAAAATGCATTACTCTGGGAAAGGAAAAATGAAGTGATAACTTGGCACAACAGCAGTACCTTAGGAGAGGTGAGATGATGAGGTTGGCTTGCAGAGCCCAGACTAGACCCAGAGGAGAGACAACCATAATAATTAGGTTCACAGAAGTACATTACAGATTAAGCCAGTTGTGAAAGGGATGGTATCACAGAACAGCTCACCACATTATGACAGACTGCAACAGTATTCTCTCCAGGTTAAAAACACTATGACTGCAGACTTTTCTCTGTCATGACCCTGGGTTTGGGCATGATGAATTCCTTGGCTTTATCCACTTAAGATAGATCTTTAATGGTACTGTGAGGTCATCAAATGGCAAACACATGGCCTGTTGCTATGTCTGCTAGGTCAGCTTCAGGTGGAGTGGCGGAGGTGCAAGCTCAAAAGAAGGTGGGAACTCACCTCATGAGAGCGGAATTTGGTGTCATCCAGTTTACGCAGGGCGTATTCCATGTCTTCTTTTCTGAGATATTCAACCATGCCCATTCCATCCTTCTGCACATCTGCATAACAGACGTCCCCAGCTTCTCGCATGTGATCCTTTAAGTCCTGCCAGCTGCCTGATGGCGGAAGTCCTAGGCATGGACAACATAAAAGGCCATATCCTTCAGCCATGTTAACTGACCTGTTAAGAGCCAGCAATACCTAGGTTCCCCTTTTCATCAATCATTACTTTAAAATCCTGAGGATCCCCAAATCACAAATTGTAAGGGGCATAAAACCAGCGAAGAGTACTAACGTATGTGTGGTAAATCACCATAAGAAGTTGGTCCTAGGCTAATCTTCAAGACACCAAGCCCTTCCAACAGAGCAAGAAGTCCACCCCATTACAGATTTAATATCTCTGAGAATTCACAGCCTTTCTTTAGCCTTCATATTTAATATCAAACTCCCAAGACTTTGAGTTCTAATTTTCTCCATTATGAAATTTAACAGTACCAATTATCTCTTGCTTGACTGGGTTCTCAGGACATGGGAATTTTGAAACTATCCAGTGAAAGTAACCAAGGCGTAGCTGAAGGTGACAACACAACAAAAATCTAAAGTTTGTTTTCTTGTAGGTGTGAATGACTAACAAACTAAACAAAGTACCTTTCAAAAGATCACCAACATTCTTCAATACAGTGGGGGAAAAGGTAAGACTCAGACGCTACAACTAGTCGGGAATTATACAACCCTACCTGATGTCATGAAAGGGAAATGTGCTCCTGCTCTCAAAGGCTGTGTTTACCGCTCACAGCTCAGGATTGCAGCCATTTCCTAATAGTTTTCTAAGCAGGATTTCAGAGCAGCATGGAGAGAAAAAAAGATATGTATGACATCCTGAAGGAGGGAATAGAGTTCTGGGGTTAAAAAATTACAAAGGGACACAAGATAGGCAGATACTGAGAGGATCACTCTTAAGTACCATGGGGGTCTGCTGTAACTGTGTGACATTCATATCTAAAAAAGTGCCAGGTTTCTCAATATATTTCACTCCACCATGGTCCTAAAATGCCCCTGCAGTGTGCAGAAGGCCCCAGGTTTTTACCACTGTTTTAGTATTTTGAAAAGATGCATAAACCTCTGAGCTTGGCATTTCATGACTTGTCAACACTACACATTTCATTCTCTATTCTGCAGTACAACCCCTAAAACTCCAAGTTCTTTTGTTTTCTTTTTTATATAATTCCAAAGCCACCACCAAAATCTGGCCTTTTTCAGCATCCAAGGCTAGGCAGTAGTTCAAATCTGATTCCTGGAATGTCTACCAAGTCTGATACCGAGTACATTACAAAAGAAAACATCTCTATAGAATTCTAGCTCACAGGGTTTTGCCCTCATCTTCCCTCTCAACACTAGAAAATTTATAAGAAGCAAGTTGATGTTCTACCAAGGCTACACTACCAGTGCAGTTTCATTTGCAAGATACCTGCCTCAGTGGCAAGATGGCAGGGCTTCAGACTGCACAGGCTATTGAAAAGAAAGCCCCACATGTCCCATGCACTGAAGAATAACAACATTTCTTGGAGGCCAGACTGTGTGCTAAGTATTTTACATGCATGATCTCATTCAGTTTTAAAGGAACATACCTGAAACAAGAACTCGGAAATCAGATCTTCTTGTAGGAGGCCCATTCCTCCCACCGCGGGGCCACCCACCCCGACCGCCATAAGTCCTGGGGAACTCCACACGAAGCCGACACTGGCCATAATCATAACCATTCCTTCCATAAATTGCATCTTCAGCATCTCTGCAAAAAAAGGTTTGGAGTTAGTGCTTCTCAAGAGGCTGACTTCCCAGTGAGGGACCTGAGGAACAAGTATAAAAGGGAAACCTGGAGTCAGAAAAATAAAAGTCTTGATGCACTACTGCTTTTGTGTGAAG